GATGATTAGTGACTTTGAGCATGTTTTCATATGTCTGTCTCTTGGCTTTCTGAATGTCCTCTTTTGGAAAGTGTCTACTTAGGTCCTTTGCCCATTTTTTGATTGGATTGTTTATCTTCCTTTTGTTAAGTTGTATGAGTTCCCTATAAATGTTGGAGATTAAACCCTTATCGGTGATAACATTGAAATTTCTTTTTTTAAAATATATTTTTATTGATTTTACAGAGGAAAAGAGAGAGAGATAGAATCATCAATGATGAGAGAGAATCACCGATTGGCTGCCTCCTGCACAATCCCCACTGGGGATTGAGCCCACAACCTGGGGAATGTGCCCTTGACTGGAATTGAACTTGGATCCTTCAGTCTACAGGCCCGCACTCTTTTGTCGACTGAGCCAAACGAGCTAGGGCGTGAAATTTCTTTAGAACACATCTTATTTCCACATTGTCTTTCCTGTTCATTAAAATTTTTCTTTGTTCCTCCCCAGTCCTAATATATAGAGGCTTATTCAAAGTGAAATTAACAGTTATGTTTTGAATAAATTTGAAATTATAGTTTGACCCCAGTCTATCCTATTTCATTTTAGGTATTTCCCCCCAAATCCTCCTCAGACACAGAGGCAGAAGAGGAGCTGTCTGGGGATGGGCTGTTTTTGCCTAGGGCTGGCAAACTTGATGAGTTCCTCAGCCTGGAGGAGACAGATTCTACTTCTGCTGACTCAACTGGGAGCTTTTACGAGACCCTGCAAGCACTGACGCAGAAAGCCAGGTGGTGCCTGTCAGAATCCCTTCATCAGTCTGACCCAGACAGTGATGAGAGCCTCTCTGAAGATGATGAGGACCTGGAGAGTTTCTTCCAGAACAAAGGCAGGGGGAAGCCGCAGGTCCAGTACCCACCATCGCCAAGGTGAGGCACTGCAGTTCAACAGCTGCTTCACTGTGTTTCTTCCTCAGTAAAGCAAAGACCACTTTTTCAGGTTGCCATTTACCCAGGCTCCGGAAGAATCAGCTTCTGGATCCAAACATGGGTT